GTTTAATATCTTGAGTTTTCTTCAATCAATCGTTCATGATTTTTTTTCAGATTAGACTTTTCTATAATAAGTCCTCACTATTCCACAAAAAAGAAATTACGATTTTATTCCAAACTGATCGTGAAATATTATACGAACAAAATTCGAAAGATGGATTTTCACCACCATCTATTAATAAAAAACATAATTTAATAGATAGTCATTCCTTGACTTTCAATTATGCGAGATTAAAAATAAGCTTGAAATTGAACAATTCAGCTAAAAATGATTGGGATGGTGTTGAATAAAAGCTAATAAATGGAAAATAAAACTTTAAAAAAGATGAGAAAATTATATTATTTCTTGTTTATAAAAACTGTAAAACAAGATTTGAAGATTTGATTATCACGCTAAATGTCATGAAAGATTTCTCAGTTTTGTCTAATGTATAATTCTCTTAAAGTATGGCAACTTGCAATGAAACTTTCATCATTTTGTACATTCATTGCAGTCAATTACTACTGAAAATATCAGCGTCATAAAAATTTATAGTTCATAGGAAAAAGAAAAATTAGTGTTAATGTATAATGTGAGATTCTCAGATTTATAACACATTACAACTGGTGATAGGAACTCGTCCGACTGATAAACTCTATTTGAGCTCATATTTTGCTCATTGGTAAGACTCATAGTGTAGATAAAAATTCTGAAAGGGTTCGTATTACTAGGCTTTTCTTTTCGAATTATGGTCATTTTACTGAGTTTTCAACCTGTTGGAGAATATCATGAAACAAATCGTAACAAGAAGTTTCGACCTGAAATTCTCCCCAGCAATAGCTCTCATAGTTCTTATGATATCCTGAAAATTACAGCTCAAATAGATGTTTCCTTTCTGAGATAACACGTTTGCAAAAAAAACCGTCACCTCTACACAAGAACTCCAAAAATAGTCCAGTTTTTAGGTATACGATACCTTAAGAAGAAATCATTCCCTGGAGTTGAAACTTTCAGGATATTATAAGAATCATGAGAACTATTGTTAAAGAGAATTTCAGGTCGAAACTCCTTTTTTGCGATTTTTCTTGTGATATCCTGCAATAGACTGGAAGTTCAGTAAAATGACCATAACCCAAGAAAAAAGATCTAATGACATGAACTCTTTCAAGATTTTTATCTACACTATGAGTCTTACCTATGATCGGAATATGAGCTCAAACAGAGATGAATTCTCTCATCGTACAGAGTATATATAAGTTAATAAAGAATCCTTTAAGGAAATTATTTGATATAAATAATGTTATATAATGAATATATAGTATAAAAATGCACTATTAGATTCCTGCAGTCGAAACTAATAAAACTCTGACTCTCAACCATGTTTCGAACCAAACAAATAAAATTCTTTCTATATTTTAACGTGTTTAGCAAAATCCTTGTATTTCGATATATAAGTAAAAAAAGTTATATTCAGGTATTCTTCATGAGTTTTGAATGATTCTCGTATATTACAGTTAATAATTTATGTACCTGTATAATCATTTCGCACTCGATCAAGAGCATCGGTTTGTTTAATTAAATCATTGGTTGCTTCTTCGACTTTTTTTTTCAAAATTAATATTTGTTGATCTTTTTCAGCAAGTGCCTAAAATTTCATTTCATAACAATGAAAAAAAAAAACAATAAGAAAATATTTTGTTGTCATCTTTTATTTACTTTATTCAAAGTAGCAACATCAGCTTTTTGATCTTCCATTGAATAAATTTGTAATCTATCACCTAGACTAACAATTTTTCGGTTAAGAGCATCGATTTCATCATCTTTTGCTTTAAAAACATCCTTAAAATAAAAATTTCTCAATAAAATAATGAAAAAAAAAAATAAAGGAAAACATACTTTCCATTGTTTAACACGATCTTCGACAGCTTTCATGACGGCATCATCATCATCACCAGGACCAATGGCCTTTTGGTTTTCCAATAGATTAACCGTTTGTTTCAAAGCTAGATTTTCTTGATCTTTCTCATCGAGAAGTTTCTGAAAAAGAATATTCCTTATTCAAAATAATATCTTTTATTGATTATGACAAAAAAAAAATGATTTGATTGACACTATATGTGGAATTTACATTTGTTTTTTCGTTTGAACATTTATCCATACCGTAATTTTTATGGAAGTGAAACGATACTTCAAAAACACTGAAGAGAAAAAATAACTATTTACATAAGATGGTGCAAAAGGTTTGTCGTCCTATCTTGCTAAAAGTTGTATATTGAGGTTAAATATTCTAATATAATACATAGACATATTTAGGATCATGTGCGAAATATCCGATCTTTGGGTCTTGTGCAATGTCTTATTCTTACAATTCTTTCAGATTAGTCATACATTGTTTTTTTGTTAAATAAATCACGAGAACGTTTTCGAACTAGGACTTTATGTGAACAGAACATTGGTCCAATGGTACACGAAAAGTCATGCCCTTTTAGTAAAAGTATGGTGGGATCGAGGAAATTCATATTGTCCTTCAGTTGCTATTTACACAGAAACAATTGATGTTGTCTCGAGTAATGATTGAAAATGATTCTCACTGGATATACAAATTAATAGGAGACATTCTGAGTATATTTTTCGCCAGCAATTATTTCAAATATTCGTATTTGTTTAAAGTTCTACAAAATTTTGCACTCGATAAGTCGATTATTAGCTCATCGATGACGAAAAGTAGTTCTAGGGTCAATCGTCTCGTCATTAATTGAAGAAGTTCGGATAGACCAATATCAATTTTGTATTCGATATTATCACTAGTGATCGATCATAGTCAAATCATTAGAACAGAAAATATAAGAAGCGTAGTCGAAAGTTCAAATGTAATAGAACAACCCACAAAAGTTTAGATAAGTGCCTGATGCGGATCCGATGGGCTCAAGTCGTCTGAGGAATGTATAGGATGCGCTAGTCACCGAATACAAAAAGACGGGAAAAAAATATCTTATATTTTCGGAGCGATTATTCAATTTCAGTTTAAAAAATTTCAGTGAGAGTATTAAAGTCCGATCCGACCGAATTCGAAAATTTTGTACCCGACAGACCTCTAAGTTTCACTATGAAAACGTGAGACCGTAGACATTCTGTGTTTTTAAAGAATTAGCCGCCCAAATTTATATGGAAATATATGTTGATCGAATATATTCTGCACACCTATATCTATATGATTTCTTTCTACTACTTAAACTGAAATATGAACTACACAAAATTAGACATACTTTAAGCAACTATTAACAGTCTCTCAAAAAATTACCTCAAACTCTACTCCCATGACCTACTTTAACTGAATATACCGATATATTATTGATGAGAAGCGGTACTTTCGAAAATAACACTAGTACCAGCCTTTAAATACTTCTCGAAAAGACTTGCATAGTGGCTCTTGTATGTATTAATATAGAAATTCAAGATTGTATCATTCGCAAAAGTTATCCATATGTCATATCATTTTATATTAAATTTATTCAAGTAAAAATGAATTTTTTTATGCGAATTAAACTCTACGAATTTTTCATTGTTGATGTCTTACATTCGTAATTATTTCAATATTTCATACATCAAATTGTATTCATAGAGAATAGCTGTTTATTATATGAAAATAAGTTTTATTAAGAAAAAATATAAATGTTAACAAGTTTGAACTTCCATATTGAAATATAGTTTATACGTTAAGAAATCGTATCTAGTTAAATGTCTTCTCGATTATTTTTGCAAAAGAAAAGTAACAATATTTTTGAAGTATGAAAAAAAAATCAATGAAGAATTTTCTGAAATTAATGCAATTTAGTTTTAATTATAACATAATAAATCAAATCTGAATATTAGTATTTTTACATACTTTATTTTTCGAATTTTCATTTGATAATTCATTAATATGACGGTCACTATCTTTTTTACTTCGTTCAAGATCATTTAATTTTTCCTTTGATTTTTGATTGTCATTAAATAATTGCTAAAATAAACATTTTATTTTCTTTTTTTGTAAAAAAGAAAACCAATTGGCCTACATTATTTTCATCCAAAGCATCATTAAGTTCTTTTTCCAGAGCACGTATACGTAATGCTCGCTCAGCATCATCAGTTTTTGCTCGACTTGTATCATGCATCCTTGTACGATTTTGTAAATCTTCCAATTGTCGTTGGAAATCGTCTTTCTAGAAGAAAGCCATTTAATAATAATAATAATAATAATAATAAGTTTTCTTTCAAACCTCATTTTTTAATTCTCGAACTTTATTTTCAGATTGTCTAAGTTCATCACGAGCTTGTCTTAGTTCGCTTGATGCATTTTCATATTCTCTTTTATTTTTTTCTGCTTCTTGTTGAAAAAGGCCCGCGTCATGTTCAAGACGTGTTATTTGCTCTTGTAGAAATGCATTCGCCTAAAACAGTATCATAGAATTTATAAAAAAAAAAAAATAGAAGAAGAAAAATCAATTATTTACATCTTTGGCGCCTGCAAACGCCGTCTTTTTTAATTTTTCATCTATACAAAAATAAATAAATCAATAGTTTAAAAAAGAAAAAAGATTTTAAATAAAATTCATTTACTTTCTTCTGCAACTTCTAGTAAATTTTGCCAATAATCATCTTTTTGTGCTCGGAAAAACTAAATATAACAAAAAAGTTCAAATTCTTCTTTCTTTTATGTTTTTTTTTTTTACTTTAGTAAATTGTTGACCCAGCTGTAATGCATGCCGTAAATCATCAACACTGTCAAGTTCATTTGCATTAAGCTAGAAAATTGTTTTATAAAATATTTTAAAATTAAATATTTTAATTTTTGTATTAAAGACTCTTACATTCATATATACTTTACCAAGTTCTTCATTTTGGTCGTCTTCTAGATCATTACCAAACTGAATATTATTCGGTTTTATTTTTAATAAACCTTCCCAATTGTTAGACGATGCAGCCATATTACAGTCTACAATGTAAACAAAAAAACAGTAATGTTATAAAATTCTTAATTATAATTATTGTTCTAAATTTAATAATGTTGATTTCATATTAAGTACAAGAAAAGGACTATCATTAACAAATTTTTGTTTCCATTCTTTAAATATATATAAAAAATTATATTTAGAAAATAATCGACGATTTTCTGTTAATTCTGAAAGTTTTTCAAATAAGATTCCTAATTTTTCCATTGTTTTTAAATCAAATGTTGGTGTAAGTGGAAGATGTATATTGCTTGAATTTATTGATGAACCAAGACCATCATTACATTGTTGTGTTAATTGATAAAATAAATGAAACCATGTATCATTACTTAATTGTTTTAGAAATGTACGAAGTGATTTTGAATCAGTACAAAGAAGTAGAAGTAAATCAATTGTATCGAATATTACTAAACAAAAAAAAAAAAAAAAACTTTAAAATGTATTCTTCAATGTACTTTTTTTTAAGTATGAGTAAAAAATCGGTTTTATTTCAAATCAAAAGCATCCTTTTCTCAGTCTTCTTTACTGTTAAGTAGACAAATATCCCATTCTGTTTGAGTTCAGTCAAGATTACTACAGAACATATCATCGAGTTAGATGAATTTCCGATCGATGCGAAATTCCAGAATCTCACTCTGTAATACCCAGCAGAACGATATAATATTGAGCAGTCTGCTTTTGATCCTATTAGAAGTGGTGTAGTCTTTTGAGATAATCATTACTTGTATGTAATTTAGTGTTAACATATAAAGTGGAGCACTCAAGATGATTACTAAGTAATGCTCATCTGATTAACTTTTAACTAAATAATTGTTCTTCATAAATGTTACTAATTTTTCGACATTTTTATTACGTGTAAATTCTACCCACTATGTAGTGTACTAAGTATTCATAGAAATAAGACTGTTTATGCTGATTAATGAGAAGAATTTGGGTCTGATCCGAAATTCTGACCTCTCATATCATCGTATGGTCAATTTTCAATACTTTTGATTTTGTAAATGGCGAGCATATGGCTTGTTTTTTTTATTTCTGTAAGTAAGTGTTATAAATAAGATTTTATTTACTGAACAATTCTATTTTAAGAATTTTTCTCACTCAAATAGTTCAGTTTAAAGTCAACAAAAACAAATAAAATAATCGTAAAATGTAGATTCGAACTAGAGATATGTACGGAACTTTTGTGCTCTCGATTGCAGAATCGAATATTTTTCAGGAAAAAAAATGAGAAAAAATATTTTCTTTATAAAATAAGATAGTTTCTAAAAATTACATGATTATTGGCGTCCAAATTAGAATGTAATTACACTGCATATAGAGATTGACTCTGATAGCGAAGTTTGTATTCGCTCTCTCAGGCTACAAAAGATACACAGGAGTCACAGTAGCCTTGCTTTGAAGGGAAAAAAGTTCTCTACAAAATGAAAAAGAACAATGTTGTTTTACTTTCTCGTTCCATAAAACATATCTGATTCTTCAAGTGAAATCAGAAAGCTTCGTGCTCATCTCTGATTCGAACAAGTTCAAAGATTATTTTATATGAATAGATGTTTGACTATTGAAGTCAAAACATCAAAACTTAGAAATCCTTGATAGAGAATTTTTTCAAAATTTTGACAAATAGAATATAGTATGACACATATGCACACAGCGTAGCAGTAAGGATGAGATTTGTAACCAAAGGGAACTTGGATTTTTACATTCAATCGAAGTTCAGAGAATCTAAAATTGATCGAACATCTAATATACGATCGTCTTTTCCCGATATCTCAAAAAATATTTAATGGATAAAATATTGTTTTTTGGCAAATTCTAGTTCACGTTTCATAGTTGATCTATACCAAGTTTTATTTCTTTCCGTTGTGATATTATTGTGTTTGCAAAAAAAATCCTATCTAAAGTAATATCCTCTAAATGGACATAAATTTGATTATGCATCTAATGCAAAAATAGACAGATATTTTGCAATGAAGAATTGTGTCTTCTATGAT